TTGCGTCGCCTTCCTGCACTCGCCCGAACACTCCCTTAACCGCCGTTCTTCAATGTGAAACTCGTCCAACCCCCCTTTCCAGCTCTTTTTTGACCCTTTCTATTTCTTTTTGTTCATCGTTTTTTTGCGCTTTTTTCAATGTTATCGCTTTATTCTAGAGTAGTTCTATGAATTCCCGTCAAAAAAGGGTACCCTAAATTTATCGTAAACGGTGCCTCTAAGCAACGTGCCTAGACAAAAATGTCAGGTAAACATAAAAAGGGCATGATAGACCAAATGGGGCCTGTTTTACGCCTACTGGGATTATTTTTCTTACGGAATACACCCAACTGGTTTCCAAAGAGAACAAACTGACATCATATCAAAGAGGCCTTTTGCATGGATCATGTTCATGTTTATCTTGGTGAAGAAATAAGTCCCTGAAGTGATGAACAATCAATATTTCTTTTGGCATGAAGGATGGAGTGAATGAGAGAAACCCGTATTACAGATGGATTCGGCTATGTGTGAAAGCGAAATGGGAACCGATCATCGATAAAGCGCTCAGATTCATATCTTCTCAAGGACGACTGAAATTTTGTCGACCAGTTTACAGGTAATCAATTCAATTTTTCATCATTCGCCTCAACAAACAGCGAGCGCTCGGTACATCTTGTCCAGATTGGTCAAAGCATAAAACTAGTATCGATAAAAGAAATAAAGTTTTTTGTACTTCCCACCCATTTACTTCCATTCTTGATCTTAGAATTCAGCCTCTACAGTGGACACCGATATGAAATCCAATGCTTAAAAATATCTTCCCCGACGATCCTGGAACCAGCAAACTGACTATGTGGGGATGGAAGATCTGATTCTCAAGAACGGGATCTCATCGAGCTTTGATCGCTCAGCCATGCTTATGACCGTGTGACCACCTGCCAATGCACCACCACCATCCACTTAGAAATCCATCAGAATGGACAAACAAATGGAAATCTGGTCGCAAAATATACACATGCTTTCCAATTTTCAGATGGCAACCAACTCAGTAAAGTAAGCTTAGCACATCCTTTTCCATGAAGGACCGCTTAATTGTTCACATGAGCGGAGATGGTGTAGGGGCGAATGGCGCACTATCACACACGCGTGGTTACGGGTTCGAATACCGGATCGATATCCGACTAGGTCGATCGGGCCTTCTATTCCTGCGGGGTCGGTTAATTGAAACCAGACTCATCTGGGAGGATAAAGCACTAACTTGTACATCGGCTGTCCAAAGTAAGTCATTATATGGGCCACATACGCATTCAGTACGCCACTACGATTCTGAAGAAGTCGAAAGCTGGGACGCAACCCTCTGACAACTTGGTTACCGTCCAAAAACATTATCTTTTTATGATTAATGAGGATGATTGGTGAAGACACATCTCATACAAATTCCTAGACAAATAGGTAGGCAATAAAATCAATTCTCCAGCAAAGGCTTCGATTTTGAGATAACGCTCGAGGTTCGAGGCCACATCATCCTCTCCAAGAAGAAACCCTTTGCGCAAATTTTTTCTGACGAGTCAATCTAAAGTTTTTCAAAGAAACGTCTTTTCAGAGACCTAAGTGCTTGGCCAGCTGCCAAAACTCGTGCACGTGATCAGTACATTCAGACACGCTCATCTATGCATCCGATTACAGCTGAAATGATCGCAAAAGATCTACATATGAGACATAGCACACATACAGTGTGCTTCTAAGGTCTCCAGGAAGATTTTCGATAATTCAAGGAAGTTTTCTGTTGACTTATACAGCAGAATAGTACCAGTCAGTTATTTGTGTTGTACATAGTAATACCCACTTCAATTTCCGTAGTCATGTTAACAATCCCAAATTAATTCAACGCAAAACTAAGCTGATCCCAAATCATATGTCACCTCGAACTTGTCCGAATTCATTTGGAATTGATTAGATCAAGATCGATTCCTGAAGATCAGCGTTGAGTAGGAAAGACGAGCTTCATGTCAAGCAGCATTTTTCTCGTGTACATACAGTATCCTTCAGAGCTTTCTACATTTACTATAGTTACTGTACATCTATGTACTCTGAATAAAGGACTACGTTACACAATGTTAGACATTCGAGATCTTTTCTAACAAGACGAGGATCATTCTCAGAAAACCTCGAAAAGTTCTTCAATGATTGTTTGCTTGTTAATGATTATGCTTAAGCGCAAATAAAAAATAAGAAATCAATAAGTAAATCATATAAACGGATTAGAATAGAAATAGAGCTGGCAACCAGTGATGAATAGTAAGGTGAAAATTGTAGTATTTCTTTCTAATTGCTTGGCTTCATCCAGAAGAACGAAGGCTCCGTTACTCACTAAAACTCGCTATGCAGATTTCTTTTCCTTTTTCAAGAGCAGAGGTAATGTAGTGGCAGGTAGCGCACTCTAACGCACCCATGTTTCGGAAATCGAATCCGGGCGGATACTCGCCCAGGTTAACCGAGCCTTCGATCTCTTGAAACCGCCAATAAGCACCAAACTTTCCCAGAAAGATGAAAGTACCGATTTGTGCATCAGCTAGCCACCACAAGACATTGTATAGGTCACACACGCATCCAAAACGCAACTGCGAATCTGACAGAAGTCGTGCGCGGGGCGCTATCCAAAATGAGCTTAATTCAAGTCAAATGACTTTATCCTTAAAGGCAAAGGGAATTTAGGAAAATAATGGGCAACCCATGATATAAAGTTACTAGGAAACTTGTAGAATAACGTCCCAACTTCCTGGTTGAAGTTACCCATAAGCGATTGTTTTGCTAATTACTGAAATCGACAAAATTCGCGAAATTTCCATCTTTATAATGCAAACTGGCTGCCAAACGATGAAATTTTTTAGAAATCGATTCAAGGAGGTCCTTATATTTCATAAAGGCCTGTAAATGTAAATGTAATTCAAAAAAAGCTCACCACAAGTATTTCTGCAAAGTTACTCGTCCCACTATTTCATCCCTGTTACGAACAACTACATACAGCAGGGCTTCGTAGGTCAGGAAAGTTTGAAACCAAAAGCACCAGGACTAAATACCAGTCTTAGCAAGGACGTGCCAAAATCCATACCACCTGATTACCACGCTTCTTATCAAAAAAAGGAAAAGTAAGGAGAAATGATATGCAAAGACTTTAGGACTTCACACATCGTGGTAGAACATTACGGTCCAACGCGGTTTATTATGTACCGGACTGAGCAATAGGAACAAACCAGAATACGAAATTGGAAATGAAAAGAAAAAAAAGAAGTAAAAATCATGGAAACTGAAGAGAAAAAAGAAAACAATAGCCATCTTGTATGTGGAAAACAGCAAGTAATGAACACACGCGGAATGGCACTCAACAAATGGCGAGCTGGCGCCTACCGGAAACCGAGAAGGTGAAAAGATAAAGAAGTGTGTGTGCGGTGTGTTTTGTGTGTCTATTACAGTATATAATGACAACTAGCCAGCTACTAAAACCACAACTGCGCGACACTTCCACGCCGCAAAGCGGCAATTTCGGTTACGCGCATACGCGCGCGCACGCGCGCTATGCGAACATAAACGAACCCGGGGGAAATTGGTGGGATGACATCAATGATGATAAAAATTTGGCTATTTTTTTGGGTTGAGGGGTAACCAGGTATAATGCGTACCTTATACAGACTACAGTACGTCATCGAATCAATATAGCTAGCTGCTATTCAGACACTTTACTAAACCCACTCTGAGGACAGACGGACGACTGATGGACGAACGGACCCGAACCGTAGAGCACCGGGACGGGGGAAATGAACACCTGTGGTCTTGTCCTGTTTTTTGTAAATATTGAGTATATGAATAATAAAAAACATAAAACAGATACAACTGCAATTTAAAAGACATGACTTGAGAAATGATAGGAAGAGAATGAATTAGTTGCTACACAAGCAAGAATGAANAAAAAAAATACAATCATATGTATCTATATCAAGTCATGTATGCAGTAAAAACAAATCAGAAATACACAAATGGGATGATTTTAGGGTGGGATGCATGGGTGAAAAGTGTACCTAAATGTATATGGGTGAGGGTGAGAAGATAACAGATGTCTGTATATCACGTAATCACGTTGAACTGGTTGGGAGCCCGTAGAAAAACGCACTGAGGCAGGCAATGTGAAAATGGAAGGAAATGGTGGATGATGAGATGGATGATTACAGAAATAGAAAACACGCTATAACGGACGATGGCGACGGGCACGGTGCCTCAGTGTAACCGGTTGTAATAATTTGAACATATCAATGAAAACGAGAGCGAATAAAACCGAAAATATGCCCCGAAGTGATTGAGAGGGCGACACTTGTCATGTACGGCTCCGTATTTGATGAGGACGAGAGTGTGGCGCGACTTTGGGTCGATCCTCCTGTCATCGAAAATTGAACAGCCCAGAAATCTTGTCAGCTATGATGCAGGGCCAGGTGGCTATTCCAAATCACAAAGATCCATCGGAACTGCCGTCGTCGACGCACCTGCAGCCGCATCTTGAGCACGTTCAAAATCCGATATACGGGACTTGAGTACCGCCAACTTCGAATGCAGATCTGCGTAACGTTGCCGAGTCTGAAAATGAATCAATTGAGCGAAAAATCGGTATTAATCCTCCGTCACAGATAACAGTAATCCAAACAGCCTCAAATTTCACTTGTTCCAGATATGTAAACATTTTCAAAAATATTAGCATTAATCATATCCTTCGGTAAAGAATGAGGGTCTTCCTTACAAGAGCATACAAGAAAGTGGGTAAAAAGGGACATGTGTACTAATTGTCCGAGTTACTACTCCAAATAGAAAAAAAGAAGAGCAGAATCAATGATATTGTAGGCTTCCGTGGCGAAAATTCAGCTAGTATAGAGACAGAAACGAAAAGCCGTCAAGCGGTGCCTCTGCAATATCCTTGACCCAAGAGTAAAATCTTTGTCTAATCCGGCCCGATCCAACAAAGCCTTTCATTCAAGAAAAGCTTAACGACCGACAGGATGTTCACTTTGAAGAGGGAAGCACTGGCCTGTGCATCAACTTGTTGGGCGCACCTCCATATGGGCCAAATAGGTTGCTAAAATGTTGGCAATTTTGGCGCTGCGGAGTGAGATTCAGGCTTTCTGACAAACCATGGTTCTCATTCTTTCGCGGCAGATTGCCTTTTTGAAAAACGAAACAGTGATTCAGGTATAAAATTGTCGTAAGAAACACCCCGAAGGAAGAATTGAAAACTTTAGGGGTTTTGAATACGGAGTATATGAAGCGCTATAAACTGACAAACTGTTTTTGATTTGACTAATGACACCTGTCCCTCTCTCCGTACTCCATTCACGTCTTCAGACTATGCAAAAAAATCTGTACAGCTTAGATTCCGGCCATCAACACCTTGACGATAAATAAGGTATCACGAAACAACGGATCACAAAAGAAAGTATCCTGAACAACCTCTACGCCAAGGTGCGTCAAGGTTGAGTACAAAACCCTTCCCTATCATCTTGTCTGAAACCCCATCCGAATTGCCTCAACGAAGCAAGACATTCAGCGCACTCCATCCAAGTAACTTGGGAGTGCGACCACACAAAATCATTCCGTTGTGGTAACATTCAGCAGTCAAAATTATGAATTCGATATTGAGAGCATGGGTCTGCCCCTCACGACAGCCTCCAATGGTGTATATAAAATGACATTCTTCGAGGTCGTCCCATGACAATAACTATGCCTGACAGCAAGAGACAACGGAGGAATTTTTCTCTTGTCGGCGTAACGAAAATGAGTTCATTTTGACACTAACACACCTTGACAAGAGGAAACAATAAAGAAGAAGAGTAAAAATCGATCACGAATGTCGAGAACAAGGACATGCCAACTGTCATCAAAACCTCCCATAGTTAAGGTACCTCCCAAAGTTGTATTAGAACGAGTTTGGTATATTTTAGCAGTTCCAGGCCTATTTACGAAAAGGCCTGGAACTTGACGGAACGGTATTACACCCTTAATAATGCTGGCGATAAGTGATATTATAGGAAAATAACGGGCTCGTGATGATAACAAAGACTAAAATTCCTAAAATATCGGTTCCGCTTGGGCGCATTCCTTGCTTATCACGAGTTCGCTTCCATGTCACGTAGCTTTTTCGGAAGCAGCGGTCATGCGCCACCTCGATGATGGATTGAATGTTCGTTCAGTTCAATGTTTGTTCAAAAACCAGTCAGAGTATGAAAAGTGAGTGCCCTTTTATATGCTGGGACGACGTTATTAGGGGCCTGAACGAGGGGACAGGACAAGTGAGGAAAAAGATGGAGCCGAGAAGCAAAGCCAATAAAGTAGCAAGAGCAGGGCAGTGGAACCGAATTGACACCAAACACTCTCGAAACTCTGCAAAGAAGAGTTCAACAACTAAAACTTCTCATGTTGATAACCATGTTAGTTTCAGTTGAGATAATATGCATCTCCAATCTGCATCCCTTTTACGAACGTGCGGATTAATATTATATAAATGGCATGCTTCCAAGTGGAACTGCTAGAAATATTGAAAAGAACTTGTGACGCACCCCTAGCAAAATGAATCGCGCGAGCTGCTTATAACTTCGCAGGACTCGAACGTGACTCCTCGAATGTGATGGTACCTTTTTTNAAAAAAAATCTAGCCAAAGTAACAAATTCATACGATTTTAGGAAAAATATCTAAAGAACAAATACTACAGGATTTCGAGCAGTAGAGTTTGATGACAGTAAGAGTAAAAAACAATGCTAGAAAGTATGACTTCAACAAACCTTTATGAATTCTGGATCCTTATCAAAGTGAGCGAAACGCATCTGAATTGTTTGCTCGACCTAAAACATTATCAAAATGCAACTGACATATAGAGGGCCTCTACTTCAAAAAGTGGATAATAAATAAACTTTTGTATCTTTATTTTCATTGGTTAGAAGCGAGTAATATTTCTACCAAAAACTATATTTAAAGGGTGTTTGCGTAGAGCGCACTCTCATGAAACTGAAGGTGAAAACGGTTTCTCCTCTCAAGAATTACGAAATTCCCTTGAACGTAAAGCCTAACCGATTGCGGGACATCAAGAAAAAAAAACAAGATCCCCTTCATTCCATGTAACAGTAATAATAAAAAGATGCTAAAGATACGAGGTAAACAAATAACATACCTTTGTGGTATCTCTGCGATTCTCAACAGCGTTCTTCAGCTGCATTTCAAGCTGACGGAACTCCTTTGCAACCTGCAATCAACTTATTGACCTGTCCAACTGGCAAAATCCAGCACAAATACAACCAACATAAAATAATAACAGCAGTAATCACCGTAAAAGTTAAATAATAATCAGAAGAGCCAAGTTTTTTTTTTTGCAAAATTTTCAGATGGAAGGGCAAAAAACGAAATCCCAAAACAAAAAATTGAGGCAAGAAATATAGTATGCTCAATTAAAAATAGAATACTGATCAGAAGCGAAGCATGCTTACCTCATTCAAGGTCCTATAACACTCCAAATACTCCGGGTACTCGTGTTGGAAAAGAGCAAAGTATTTTTCAGCTTCTTGTACATTTTTAATCTGAAAAAAAAANAAAAAAAAACTATTGAGTAATGATAAATAAGAAAAAGAGCAAGGAGAAAACTCACCTCGCCGTAACTTTTATCCCAATCACACGAAGGTTGAGTAGGTGATGATAAACTACAGGGTGAGCTAAGACGTGACGATGCCGTACTACCGCCCGAACGAGCAGCTAGCTTCTGAAGCAGTACACTTGTAGAAAATACCCACCGCTTGAGAATGTTCTACGTTCCAAAAACCGTGGCACAAAAAGGACCCCTACAATTAGTCAATACCAAAAGCAACTAGGCAACACTAACCTGATTATGTTGCGGATGGTTAGTAGGATCTTCTGGTGGACTAGCACTTTCTTGACGCGGCCGTTTCCCGTCGTTTGGACGCTGTTGATTCGATACCGGAACATGAGCCTTACGCTTGTTTGCAGATGGCACTTCAGGTTGGTGAGGAGGACTCCGATTGATCCTGAACGCCAATCTAGAATTCAGGGATACAATATGTAGTAAGAAATTCTTTGGAAACAAATATTTGAATTGAATATGAACAGCTTTCCTTCCGAGTCAACGCATGCCAAAACGAGCAATTAAGAAGCCTAGACAGTGACTGTTGATTACATTAGAAAGAGTTAGAGAGCCCATTAATGGAAAGAAGTGAGACAAAAACTGACTATTCCATTACGGTACTATTACTGACTAAAGGACAAAGAGCACTTTCTGTCGGGTAAGCCTTCTAGCCCCTTCTAGCCCCCCTTATAAAAAAGCTATATCAGTTCAAAGCAGCGATTTGAATGATTAAAAAGAAGAGAACTGTGATGTATCGAACAGCCGTAGAAGGAGTACCAAAATCGCCTAGAAATCAAGAACAAAAAAAA